CAGCGACAACAATCTAAGTGAGACATCCTCATCTTAATTTGCTCCGGTAGGAAAATAAAATGTTTAAGATAACGTTAGCTTGATATGTTAGCTTCCGTTTCGCTAATGGTGCGTTCGCTTTCTCCTCGGAACTCCGAATTTCCGACTAGAAGAACATGAACGCGCTCTAAAGTTTGGCTTCACTTTACTAAATGCGACGGGTGATTGGGTGAAGATGAAACCAGCGACAACAATCTAGGTGTGAGGCATCATCGTTTTAATCTGCTCCAGCAGCTAAATAAACTGTTTAAGATAACGTTAGCTTGATAAATTAGCTTCCATTGCCACCGTTGTTATCAGCTAATGGTGTGTTCGCTTTCTCCTCGGAAATTCCAACTTCCCAGTAGGAAAAATCAAATGAAAAAGGACGGCAAAAGGAATGAAGATACACAGTAAATTTAGCTCACAGTAAAGATGTTTGCTTCAGTTTAATTATCAGCTTATAAAACTACAAGGACGATGTTAAAATACAAACAGTTGTATGTTATTTATTGTGATATTTATCAAATATGGTTATATGTTGAGAAAAATATATATTTAATTATAAAAGAGAATTAAAATATTAAACACTCAAAAGTATCGAAAATTGGTACCGTTAAGTACCGGTATCGATTCCTGGGTACCGGGAATTAGTACCAAATCGATTCAAATGTCAAAGGTACCCATCCCTATCCACACACACCATCATCATTTCACGTCTCACTTTACCTTAGTCCGTCAGTACACAGTCTTGTTTAAATTGTGTAAAAATAAATTTAACTATTTTAAATCTGACTCTCTTTCCTTGGAGTTAATACGAAGTGTCACTTAATCCCTGCAATAAAAAGTTCAGATCTTCTGGTTAAAAATAGTCAAAGTTCCATCAGATTGATATTTCATATTTCTATGGAATCTAACATTTTATGGCTCATAAAATAAGATGTAAACGACTCATTCTTTACACCAGTCAAACACAAAAAAATACAATGAGGCAGAGACTTCTCTCCACTCTATTTCCACCAGACTCGGCCCGCCGTACATGTTAGAGATTTCAGTGCAAGTTTAAAATTTTTTTTTAAAGGGATTAGAGGGAATGAGAAAAAAAAAGCTGACTCCAGCTAACTCCCAAGCTTAAAATATCTCCCATCTGAAAATACACAACAGCTACGCTAAAAAAGAAGGGGGAAAGGAAGTTAGACAAAAGCCAGTGAGGTCACATGTGTCTTATACAGGCGGACACCACTGGTCTAGTAATCCGTCAGTCTGAGCACAATTAGTAAAGTCATGGGGGGAGCGGGGACACAATTTTGGGAGACAGGGAGACGAGAGGGGCTTGGCAGGACTTGTCACAGTTCATCAGTGCACTGGTACATCGCATCTGGCCTTCTTACTACAGAGCAACACACACACACACACACACACACACACAGAGAGAGAGAGAGAAACAATTGAACTTGCTTGCAGAATAAATGGTCTAACTATGTGCATACACATTGAGATGCAGATAATGATAACTGGCACAAAAGAAGCTTTTGCCTACAAACGGTTTACACACACACACACAAGTTTAACCATAACAGACTATACAGCAGGCCTGTAATCGGCCATCTTTGAGCACAAGATCTGACGCCAAATTTCCAGATGTTTCCTGACCAAGGGTAACCAAGCCTAAATGAGCTTGTTGAGGTCTCTGCCACACAGTAAGAAAGAAGATAGCTCACTCGTGGCAATGTTAGCACACACGAGGTCTGTGTGTGTAGTGCCTCTGGCTGGGAAACACCTGCTGTGGCCTCCTCTTGTCTTGACCTTAAGATCAGAATCACCCCTTTAACAGTGTGATGCTTAGGAATCCCACCCTCCACTTTCATGTTTAGCTACTAAGCATTTGGTCTTCATGAGTGCCTTCGCGGATGATTTGGTGATGAATTGCAATAATTTTATTGGCTGTCAAAGTCGCTCACACCAAAAAGGAAAATTTAATTGTTTGCAACAGCTTCCAAAAACGGAGAAATTATTACATCTGCGTGTGTATAGGTGAGCGGACCGGGACATGAAATGAGGCTCCCTGGCTCCTTTTTACTCAGTGGCCTAATTAAACACTCTGCTGGAAAATGGGACATAAACTTCTTGATTGCACGAATGAATGCAAAAACATTTCTATTTATGCTCCACAGTAAACAGAAAGTTCAAAAAGTTCAAAAGAAATCTACAAATCTATCACAACTCTGTCTTGCTGCCATAGCGACAACACTCAAAGCTGAGCCACCCGCACTGCAGACAGACAGGCAGGCGGCTCAGACAGAAATAACTAGCTAACAAACACCAGCAGCACGGTGTACAGCCCTTATTAGGATCCCCAAACGCAGCATATGCAACCGGAATCTGAAGCTGAATATGCTTCAGCAGCACAAAATAACTTCAATCAGAAAACTATTCATGCATGTGACATGCATTAGGTTCATTGCTAACCAGAACAGATAGCAATGTGCTACGATGACCATTTGCCAAGCTAAAAATTACATTATTATTATTATGATTATTATTATTACTATTATTAAAATTACTACTGCAGAATTTACATTCGTTTTTTCCCACTAGCTCATGAAGGCAGCACTCCAACAGGCTGATAATTTAAAACTACACAATTAAATATGTATGAGGTGAAATAAAGCACTCCACAACTGTTCCAGTGTCACATCAACACACACACACACACACACACAATACACACACACACACACACACACACACACCTGGGCTCCCTCTACTGAGCTCACAGCAACATACGACACTGTAATGAAGCACAAAACACACTGCTGAAGCATCTGGCAGAGGCTAAAACAGAGCAGCAAAAAAAGAGCAGCACGAAGGAAAACACAAATGGAAAGTTGAGGATCAGAAAAGGGAAAAAGCCAGAAAATGTGAAACTAAAATATGAAAAGTAAAAATAGGGAAAAAGCAAAAAACATTTGGGAAAAGAAAAGGGGATGCCTGGGTGAGTTAGGACAAGCTGCAGAGAACGAGAGAAAACAGATTATTTGGCCCAAAAGCTTGTTACAACCAAAGAGTGCAAAGGGCATCAGTGTGGCTCGACGTTGTGACCACAGTGTGCACGACCCTAAAGGGAAAAGATGGCAGAAGATGAGAGAGCAGAGAGCAGATGAAAGGCATCTTAAAGTGACTTTTCGGACTTTTGAATTTTTATGCTCGCGATAGCCCCCTCAGGCAAAAAGCGTAACGGCAGCTTCAATAGCAGGCTTGTGCACGAGGTGCGCGCGCGTGTGTGTGTGTGTGTGTGTGTGTGTGTGTGTGTGTGTGTGTGTGTGTGTGTGTGTGTGTGTGTGTGTGTGTGTGTGTGTGTGTGTGTGTGGCCTGGAGGACAGAGGACAGGAGAACACGCAGCTAATTAATTAAATAATTTGGTTCTGTACCTTTCTCTTCAGCACAGCCGACAAAGGTTTATGATGGGTCAGTCCTCCTGCATGCTCAGATCATTCCCTTCCCTTGATTGAAAAATTGTTCCAAAATGAAAGTTGAGCCCATATCTTTTTTATCTGTGAATTCAATGCCATTCAGCGAGTCTCAAATAGAAATTTGGGCATCTTACTGTAAAAAAATGTACCATTAATGTAAAAAATAAACTCTAAATAAACTATGTTCACACCCAGAATGGAACCCAGGTCTTCTGCACGAGAGTCCAACATCTTACTAGGTGAGCTAAAGTGCCAGTAACATTTGACATATCTGTAACATTTATATCCTTGATGGCAGCTGAAACAACGTCAAACCAAAGAACGGTTCAGAGCGAAAATGGCTATTTTGTTGCTAATTTGCAGGAAATATCTAGAAGAACGTTCTACAGAAAGTTGCTAAGGGTCCTCAGAAATGTAGCCAAGTTTGTCACTAGGCGTTAGGAACAGCGACAAAGTCGCTGAGTTGGCACTACCTCACTCTCTCTGCTGCTAAAGCTACTGATAGCAAATGCTACGTGCTATGCCTGAGCGTGAACGTGCATGAAGCAGCCTGCTCGACCCAAGCAGCTCTGTTTTTCTGTGATTTTACAGAAAAACAGGCAATCACAGTAAAAATGCCAGGGCTCATTCTACAGGACCAGGGCATTGCAGGAGAATGTATGAAGAAGAGATTTATTATTTCTATACATGTTTTGACTGTAAAACTTCCTTATAGTCCCTTTAATGATGAGAGGCCCTAACAATGCCAGGGAAGAGACAGAGAATGACGAGGGCAGGGAATAACACACACAACAGGAAACCATGAAATGAAAACAAACAAGGAGGAAGTCAATAAAAAGAATTAAAAGTGACAAAGGGGATGATTAGAGCGGCTGCTGTGACAGAAGCACCACACCTCCTTTGTGTTTTAGGTTTCAGAAAGCCAAATGAGAGACAGGACTTTCACATTTAGAAAAGGAAAATACTCGAGCAGTTTCAGACATAAATGGTGGCTAATAAATGATTTTTAAATTCAAGGATTTGCTCTAAAATAACTGAGGCTTCATTATATCTATTACAATCCCCGTTTATGAGACGATCCAGACATCTGTGTCTAGGTATCGCTGCACACACGCATTTTCTTTCTCTCCACAGCCAGCTGTGATGATAAATTCCCCCGAGTCAGGAGATAAATGCTATAAGCATGCATACATGTGTGTTTTTGCGGTCTTGAAGTGATTCTAAAAGAAAAACAGGGAGTGTGTGTTAGGGAAAAGTAAAAAGGAGGGGGAAATCGATTAGCCTCACTCTGCAGTGCTGCATCCACTGGGTGTGTGCAAGTGTTTTACTGTGTTTGAGTGTGTCGCAAATGTGGGGCGCCACCAAGTGGTCAGAATTAGTCCCAAAGCAGAGATAAACAACAGTGTGCATGAAAGAAAGAGGGCAGACGTAAAAGGAATGAGTAAATATTAACTGACTCATAAGAAGCTACTCAGTCTGTGCTGAATAAATAGACAGATGAGTTTGTACCTCTCCTTCATTCCTAGGAGCTCGAATGCTGGACAGGTGAATGGTTTTGTACTCTCCCGAGTTGAGCTTGACCACCAAGGCATCAGCGTTGACGACCTGCATCACCTGCAAGAAGGAAACACAGAAACACCAGCTTTTTAACACAAATTCTGGAACGCAGAAAAGACACAAAGGTAAAAACAAACCAAACATCTTAAGGGGCTCGACACACTGCTGCAGGGCACAGCCATCAAAATGCTAGCGCTGCAATTTGTTCAGCGAGCGAGCGAGCGAGCAGGAAGACCGGATGGAGAACAGGAAGTGAAGGGACTAGAACGAGATAAATGAAGAGGAAGAGATCCAGTCAAAGGCAGGAGGAGGGTGACGGTGCACAATCTGTGGGGGAAAGGCATCGAGTGTGCGGTATGGGGCGATCCCTGGCTGTGTGAGTCAGCTACAGGCTCCCAGCAGGCTCCCTGAGGACGTTTTGTTATCAGGGGGATAGGTAGAGAAAAGTGGGAGAGTTTGGGGAAAATGCTTTAAAATAGTAATACAATTTTATTCTACTGAAATTATTTATATTTTACTGTAACTAAAATGATGTTAAGAGCTGAGAATCACGTGTGGATGTCAAATACAGCTGTTATGGTTCACCAACCCTCTGATTTACACATTTCTGACCAATATAACAAAATATGACTGTAAAAATAATAATGCTAAAAAAAATGGCCTTCAGCACGAGAACGTCTGTCTGCTGTCGCCCTGCAGCGAGACAGACTGGAGGTATGATGCGATGGAACCCTACGCCCATAAGTAGGCCACTTAGACGAGACGGACAAATCAATCGCCCCACACATGACGCCACCCACGCATGTTTTAAATCATCTAACCGACCGTGGCTCAAATGCAGCTTGTGTTCACATCAACAGCCTCAAAGAGAGACGCAGCTCTGGGCTGCTTGGGTGGTGTGGGTGATTAGTAGTAGAAGTGAAAATTAGAAACAAGATGAAAGTTCCTGAACGCAAACTGCAGACACAGATCCAGGTGTGTTAAGCTCACTGGGACGTTCATTATTCTATGGAAGAACATCAGACTGTCTTTGCATTTGCCACCAGAGAACAGAATTTGGACCAACCCACATGCTAAATAGGCTGTCCACAACAGCAGCCAAAATACATCATACACTAATCACTGAGCTGAGAGGGAGATGCAGACATAGGGAGCAGGAGAGAGAGAGAAAGAGATGAAGGGGAGAGGTGTAATAAGTACGAGGCAAGGAGGGTTGCATGTACACACACACACACACACACACACACACACACCAGCCTACACGACTTCACACAGTGACAAGGTCATTGTGCGACCTGCCTAAGTAAATAAAGTGCAAAGGAGAGAATGTGGCAGGGACAGAATAAAAATGGCTAAGCGTTTACTGGCTAATGATCAGTCCGAAGAGGCGAGATGAGAGCCGCGCAGAGGGGGACAATCAACACGCACGCACGGGGGAGAGAGGAACAGCAAGACGGAGCGAGCCGGGGGAGACGGAGTGAAATCTCAGAGCAAATATCACAGAAACAGAGACGCAGAAAAAGATGGGAGAGAAGATAGAAAAGCGGAGCAGAAAGTAGCTGCCACGAGGGCCGAGTGAGCAGAGAAGACAAATAGGCAGGCAGCGTGACTCACTGGCCTAATCCCACATGAGAGGTGGGGATCTACTGCCACCATCTGCCCGTGGCTGGCATGACAACTTCAGCAGCCAGGTTCAGTTACTGCGCAGGAAGGATCTTGGCCACGGTCAGGGAACGTGTTGGTTGACACCCGAATCTATTAAGTGGGTTTTAACCACAGGGCCGAGCTAAGGCTTCGCCAAGACTCGGTCATTACTCAGGTTCCTTCACCTCCCTCCACAGCAACACCTTTGAGCTGCCAGTCAGCACATTTTACCAGTCTACATATGTAGTTTCCCAAACTCCTCGTGGTGTGGGCAGAAAAATGGAACAGATTTTTCATGCAAGTCGCAGAATTTAGCTTCGACATCAAGGATTTCTCACATTTAATCTGTTTTTTGCAAGCCAGTTGTCACCCAGAGAGGAGGGCGGGGGTGACTGCAGGGACACCGCTTACTCCTGCATCTTTAGGGCCAGCAGAGACAGGACGAGAGAGACGACAAAGTCAAAAAGGGAGATACGTCAGCTCGACTGACTTGTGGGAATTGGGCCGGCTGCGCCTCTCCTTTTATCCGTCACTCAGGTAATAATAAGTGAAGAGTGGACAAGGAGAGAGGAGTATATGACGATGGGACTGATGGATAGCAGTGTCCTTCGGGGAGTCAGTCACTGCAGCATCACCCAACCAGAGAGGGCCAACGGCGGGCCTGAACATCCCAACAGGAACAGGTGAGCACTTAGCTTCAAGATAAACCAACCACAAACAAAATCAGCAAGACGTTTTTCCACCATCAACACTTTCAAGTTTGGGAACTCTGCAAACTCTCGGGATCACGTTTCCTTCAAAGGTCATACTACAGCTAAGTCATCAGCCGCGTTCCAGAAGCTGCAGCTTTCAAACGACTTCAACCAATCACCTCTAGCAAAGAAAGGAGACAAAGTCCTGCTGAGATCAAAAACCACACTAAGTCTTAGCTGGAGGCATAAGCAAATATTCATACAAGAACATTTTATATGTAAAATTAAAACACTAAAAATAAAAGGTTAGAGTTCTGAAGTACTTAACACTTTACATTAAAACATCCTAGTGCCCCCACAACACCCACAGCCAACCCTCCTAAGGGACATGAGTGCACCCAACACTAATATAAATATTTCATCTACTCTCTCCTCCACCCTGACTCGGGGGAAACACAGTTTCTTTTTTGTGACTTTTTTTCTGTGTGTGCAGTAGGGTAGTCACGATACTAAAATTTCAAACTCGATTCGATACTTTGGGGGGGGGGGGGGGGGGGTACTCGATACTCGATTTCGATACAATTTAAAAACACCAATTTATTGAACAAGTTTATTCAAAAAATAACATTCTTCAATTTATATTGCAAAAATTAAATGTTAAGAATTAAGTGTATAAAGTGCTTAAACCTTTCAAGTATCAGCATTTTTTAAAACGTGCATACAAAAACTGGTGAAAGTTAACACTTTAAATCATGAATTGTCTCACTATATATACACTATTTGCAGAGTGATGTTTTGCTGCTTAAACTCTGTTTAAGGTGCATTTTTGTCATAAGATGTAATGCCATATGTTTTGTTCTGTACTTTTGAACAACTCTGTTGGTCAATAAAGGGAGAAAACGAATTTCTCCACAGTAGGATAAAGGTACATCTACCAGTAATCTTAATAAAAACAGATTGGCGCACGGCAGTGACGTCATTAAAAGCGCCGGTTAGATTAGCCGCAGCTAGTCTGTTCACGCCTAGAAATCCCAGACCAGACCCGCTCCAAACGAACAGGGGAATCACGTTAATGATTCCTAACAAAACCTTTCAACATGAAGATGTTTTGGTGCAGATAATTTCTTATTTCGAGGATGCACCATGGGTACCTGTCCGCACCCGTTATATGGATATACGCTGATGGCGATTCGCCGATGGATCTAAATACCCCGGGGAATCCAAGTAGCACCAAAGTTGTCAGCGTGAGTAAACAAACGTACTGCATGCTAGAAATTAAGTCCGGGTTGCAATAAACAGGAGTTTCCTTTAAGCACATAAGCGTGAATATACAACTACGTGTCGGACTTGGTATGCTAATTACGTTGGGCTGTGAAGCGCCTCCCAAATTCGCTGTTTATGTTTTTGTTTATTTATTTGGCAGACAAAACTTGGATCGGAGACAACTCGCGTGGGAAATTGCAATGTAGCCATGCGGCGTCTTCTTCTGTTTGTCTGGGAGGCGGAGGCTGCTTTACGGCATCTGGCTGTCGTGCGTGTCGGTGTACTTGAAGAAGGCTGTGTATAATAGTCCATAATATCGATACCACAGGGATGGAATATCTAATTTAGATACCACTTTTAGCATCGATTTATATCTAGGTATCGATTTTTTTGACAACACTAGTGTGCAGTTCATCAAATTCATTCTGTAAGCAGATTGCCGAAGCAACACCTTTTATGCAACCCTCCTCAGGCTGGCTTGTGAATTTTTTAAGGTCCTAAAAGTTCGAAGCCCGAGGGAAGCAAACAAAGGAGAAAACAGCAACTTTAAAAAGGATTTACAGGTGCTGGCCAGTAAATTAGAATATCATCAAAAGGTTGAAAATATTTCAGTAATTCCATTCAAAACGTGAAACATGTACATTATATTCATGCAATGCACACAGACCAATGTATTTCCAATGTTCATTACATTTAAATTTGATATTCATAAGTGACAACTAATGAAAACTCCAAATTTGGTATCTCAAAAAATTAGAATATTCTGAAAAGGCTGAATATAGAAGACACCTGCTGCCACTCTAATCAGCTGATTTACTCAAAACACCTGCAAAGGCCTTTAAAAGGTCCCTCAGTCTTGTTTTGAAGGCACCACAATCATGGGGAAGACTTCTGACTTAACAGCTGTCCAAAAGACAATCATTGACACCTTGCACAAGGAGGGCAAGACACAAAAGGTGATTGCTAAAGAAGCTGGCTGTTCGCAGAGCTCTGTGTCCAAGCACATTAACAGACAGGCGAAGGGACGGAAAAAATGTGGTAGAAAAAAGTGTACAAGCTCTAGGGATAACCGCACCCTGCAGAGAATTGTGACGACAAACCCATTCACAAATGTGGGGGAGATCCACAAAGAGTGGACTGCAGCTGGAGTCAGCGCTTCAAGAACCACCACGAGGAGACTCATGAAAGACATGGGATTCAGGTGTCGCATTCCGTGTGTCAAGCCACTCCTGAACATGAAACAGCGCAAGAAGCGTCTCGCCTGGGCCAAGGACAAAAAGGACTGGACTGATGCTGAGTGGTCCAAAGTTATGTTTTCTGATGAAAGCAAGTTCTGCATTTCCTTTGGAAATCAAGGACCCAGAGTCTGGAGGAAGAGCGGAGAAGCACAGAATCCACGTTGCATGAGGTCCAGTGTAAAGTTTCCACCGTCGGTGATGGTGTGGGGTGCCATGTCATCTGCCGGTGTTGGCCCACTCTGTTTCCTGAGGTCCAGGGTCAATGCAGCCGTCTACCAGGAAGTTTTAGAGCACTTCATGCTTCCTGCTGCTGACCAACTTTATGGGGATGCAGACTTCACCTTTCAACAGGACTTGGCACCTGCACACAGTGCCAAAACCACCAGCACCTGGTTCAAGGACCATGGTATCCCTGTCCTTGATTGGCCAGCAAACTCGCCTGACCTTAACCCCATAGAAAATCTATGGGGTATTGTGAAGCGGAGGATGCAATACGCTAGACCCAACAATGCAGAGGAGCTGAAGACGACTATCAGAGCAGCCTGGGCTCTCATAACACCTGAGCAGTGCCACAGACTGATCGAGTCCATGCCACGCCGCATTACTGCAGTTATTGAGGCAAAAGGAGCCCCGACTAAGTATTGAGTGCTATACATGCACATTCTTTTCATGTTCATTCTTTTCAGTTGGCCAACATTAGAGAAACAAACATTTTTTCATTGGCCTTTAGAATATTCTAATTTTCTGAGATACCAGATTTGATGTTTTCATTGGTTGTCACCTATAAATATCAAATTTAAATGTAATAAACATCGGAAATACATTGGTCTGTGTGCATTGCATGAATATAATGTACAAGTTTCACGTTTTGAATGGAATTACTGAAATATTTTCAACCTTTTGATGATATTCTAATTTACTGGCCAGCACCTGTATTGTTAATTTTATTACTATTTGAGTTTGTTTAAATGGATTTGAACCCGAGCGAGAGCCTCGTCTTCTCAAAGGGGAACATTTTGAAGCTAATATTTTAGTTTAACTACATTAAAGTGACAACCTGGAAGTCAGAACCCATAATGTGTCCTCTTATTGAGACAATGAGATTATACTGCATAACCAAAACAGATCAGTCCATCCATCTTGGTCTGAACTAACGTTTTCTGACAGCCAGGAGCAACTGCACCTCCTCTGTATTTAATATAACAGACACTTCTTTTTAACTGAGGTCTCTACCAACATCCAGCTCCAATATTTCCTTTTTCAGCTTCAGGAGAGCTCTACTGGCTTATTTTAGCCATCTAAAGGCTCAGAGCTACTGCTATCAGTCATCTGAACTTTGTTGAACTGGTTTTGATTGTTTTTTACTTTTATTTAATGAAATCTGCTAATTAAACTGTGTTGTAATGATCCTGATAAGAAGCCGTAAAGGTTTATGTTGCTATGGTGACAGCAAACTGGAACCACTACAGCAAGTTAAATGGGAAAAGAGTAACTGGTTCAGCTTGTCGTGCTTAACACTCAATACGCGACAACCGCTCTGTCTGGGACGAAGCTAATAAAAGCCACTTGAAGAGCTCACCTTGGCAACAAACTGTCTGTCCTTCTGGTCCAAGTTGGCTGTGGGGGCCACGTAGTCTTTCCAGATCCGGACCTTGCGCTCTTTCGCGGATCTAGCCAAGAACAAAAAAAATCAACTTCACTTCAGCATGATGAAGGACTTAATGAAAAGACTGTAAAGAAATGGCTAGAAAATGAGACTGAAGGCTTAATAACGCTGAGTATTATAGCAATGGTTTAAGCAAAAATAATCTAATTTACTGTTAAATTAAAAGAACCCATAGATAATCAATGACCCAATATTTATTAGATAGACAGATCCCCACAGGGATGGGTCAAATGCAGAGATGTAATTTTACCAGTGTGTGATGACTAAAGGAACTTATAGCCAAGAGTTTAAATAAATAAGTGTACTTTGTCCCGTCTACTATAATTCATGATCTCTGTAGACCTTTCTGCTTTACACCAGCAGACTGGTTTCCCACTTCCCCCTCCAGCCGCTGTGAAAAGAGAACCAGCTGCCAGCTAAAACAGTTTCAGTTGTTTTATCTGTAGGGCTGGGCATCGTTTGAATAAGAACGATTCTGACTCCAATTCCTCGTTTTGATTCTGGTTCCTATCAATTCCCGATTCTGATTCTTTCATGTGGCAGGATCCAAAAACATTAAGGGAGCCAGCTAAGCACAGGTCATGCTCGATGAGATTATCTGAACTTCAACAAGATTTTTAAATCCATGAACAATAACACCTCGTTGTTTAGAATAGAAGCATGTTGTAAAACTTGTATTAAATCCACTGTGATGATCCATTTTAATGAGCTTCCTCCGCTCCGTATTTTTCGCTGCAGGAATGAAAGTTTACGTCGCGGGGTAAAAGTTCGGCAGACGCGCGTTTACATTCTTGCCGCTGCGCACCTGTGCTTTGTCAGGAAAGGGAGGGTAATGCGATGCTGCTCTCAGGCTCTCTGCAGGCTGCAGAGCAGCAGCGACAGACAGCTGGTGTAATTAACTCTGAAAGCCGCTGATCAGAATTTACAGATCAGGATTCTTTTCCAAGGAGATGGACCACAAATTCCTCTTCCGGTCCGAATACTGGGAATCGAAACTGGGATTTGAAATAAATAACTTTGAACGATTCCGGAAAAAACTGACAGTCCCGGTTCCAATCGACGCTCGATCCCCAACCCTAGTTGTTGATGCGTACCGCTCTGCAGCTCGAAGTTTCTCCGCTCCCTGGGTGTAAACAGCCATGGACCAATCCACACAACGAGCAAACCCTTCCTTCAAAAGCAGTTCTGTGATGTTACCATTCTAAAACACAAGAATAAAAAGGAAATATGTTAAAACACGTATAAATAATCAGCACATGTTTCTGACTCCTGCTCTCACCGGGTGGAGGATGGTCCCCAGTATGACCTGGTTGTGGCAGCTCTCAAGGATGATCTGAACGTCTCGCTGCAGAAGACGCGACTCGGTGAAGAACTTGGCCTCTGCTGCAAACGGCTCTGGTGTTTCTGTACCGTCTGCTTCTCTCTTGAATGTGGGACACTACAAAGACAAACTAAATAAATAAACCTCAACACAATTAAGCTCTCACCTAAATCACAGCTCACTTTACAAACATCGCTTATCTCGGGTGTGCCGTTTTCATCGATTACACCCACACTCAGAGAGGTGTAAAACTGTTTACTGCGATTTCCTGTTATCATCTGGGGATTTTTTCCCAGTAGCCTTTCTAAGTGATGTCACCTTGTCTAACTTGTTGTATTTAATCTACTTTTGAGTGCAGCGAAACACCCGCCAAACAAGAAACAACAGTCACGACACGCCTTTGTACAACGAGACAAAGAACACCTTGAAATGAAAGTAATATCTTCAAGTGGGAGATGAGCAAGATTAGTTATCTTGAGTGGTCTACTGGCAAAGCTAGCCCGGCTGAGAGGGATTGATGGGGGAATGCAGTCGCACAGATATGACATGGTTGGAACCAATAGACTAAAGGAAGAGAGGAAGAAGAGCTGTTAGTCCTTTAATGTCTTTATAAGATTACACTTGCTGCATTAAACCACATTACTGCCAAAGTCAGGGTGCAGACGCCAAAAAATGGTCAACAAGTAAAGAATCTGTTTTCTGAAATGCTAAATATTAGAGCTGAGGAAAATAGTCAGATAATCGATGCATCGAGATGCGGACAAAAATGATTCTGCATCGTAGAAGTAAGCCATGATCTATTATAGCAGAATGTAGTTTTGCTGTTTTTAACGGCGGCACCAGGGCAGCATCCAAATCTGTCAGAGTGAGCGTCCACCACATTTACCAAGTATTGCTCCGCCTTAAGGCTGAGCGCTGGAGTTGTAACCTGAGACCGAACCGAATCAGCCCGTCCGGTTCTGTTGGATTTGGGCCGTGAATTATGTTAATAGAGCGGGTTGTCACGCAGCGCGTTCCGCTCGCTCGCACAGCAACAGAGAGAGAGAGAGAGAGAGAGAGACAGAGAGACAGAGAGACAGAGAGACAGAGAGAGAGAGAGAGAGAGAGAGAGAGAGAGAGAGAGAGAGAGAGAGAGAGAGAGAGAGAGAGGCTCGGAGGACGCTCCTCCAAACACGCATTATTATTTTCATAATTTCATTATTATTTCTCCTCGAAGAGCTCAGTTCGACCGAGTGTTGTGATGTCAGGTGATCCGGTCTCGGGGAGGGGCGGGGTCAATGACGGTGGCTGCAGCGTGATCATCCGTCTCTTATTTAGGGACACGGAGAAGTTAAAAGGAGAGAGAAATAGAAGATAGAAGTTCTTGTTCCACTTTATTCTTTTGTGTCATGATGATAAATTGATGTTAAATTCAGCTTAAAGAGAAACTGGGAGGAAGCTTTGGTTCATTTTAGGTTACAGGAGATCTTGTCTCCTATCTGCTCCTCCAGAGACAGCATGGACATGAGGGTCACATGGTGAGGGTCACACAGGACAGGTTAGTGGAAAGGTTTGTAGTTAGCTGGTTAGTGAAAGAGATCCATCAGCTGGGTAATTTAATCCTAATCCAGCCCACAGCCTTCTGCTGGTGTTATTATCAGAAAGAATAAAACACACATCTTAAATATTATTGGAAGTGTAGAATTTGTTTGATGTTTTATTATTTTCTACATCAAACAGAACTTGATTCATTCTCCAACATTTCAGAAATGAACCGCTGGGTTCAAATAAAATAAACTAAGTCAAACATTTCATTTGGTGTTATTTCTGACACCCTTCAACTGTGGCATAAATATTTGACTCTAAAGCTGTTCAGAGACATTAAACACTCATATATGAACCCATTATGGATTTTATTATTACATTATGTGTCCTGTAGGTTTTCAGTACTTTTTTTTAGATTTTGTGAGTTTTTGCAAAGCGTGTTTTTCTCAGCCTCAGGCGTGGTGTTGAACGAGGAAACAAATGTTTTACTTTGTTAAATCTTCTTAAATGTTTAAAATGTTTTGTCCTAACCTGTTGTGAATGGAGAGCTGTTGAGGGATGGCAGGTTGTGTCAATTATGTTTTGATAAAAAAAAATAAATAAATAAATAGCAATTATCTGACACCTTCTTTTTATCGATAAAAACAAATCAATATGAAATAATCGTGATGCATATTGATATTGAATCGAATTGAATCGTTGACCCAATAACCGTAATCGAATCGGGAGACAAGTGAAGATTCACACCTCTAATAAATGTAGACTGAATTTTGTTGTGGGTGAGCGGAGGTTACCTTAACACCAGACAGCATAACGGTGACCAGGTAGTAGTCGGGAAGCAGCAAGGCACGGACGACGCTGCCGTCACGCACATGCTCGATGATGGCTGAGGTGGAGGAAACAAATGTAAGGAGCAGAAAAACACAGCTCTGTTCTAATAACACTATTCTAATCCTCTCCAGGAGGATGCCAGGATACAGTTCGATGCTTCGGGGAAAGCTACAAACGACCCAAACTCAAGCCAAAAATAAAAGCATCTGTGACCAGCAGCTGTGCGTCTCTTCACCAACACTAAGCCGTTACAGGGTCTCTGGGAGCAAACTACTGGCTGTCCTTCACTTCCTCCCAACAAGAGTCCATCCATCAGTGTAAGTTTAATGTGACTGTGTGTGCCTTCCATGGCAATAGGGGGCAGTACATGCTTCAATCATTGCAAGTAAGCAGGATTTTTGTGTTTGAATAGGACCTTACCAACGGATGGCCATTAGGGGCAAAAATACCTGGGAGCGCAATTTTCAAACGAGTACTCCGTCAGATTATTCAAACTCCAGCGAAATAACAAGCACATCAGACTCCCTTTCATCACGAGTGAAGAGGTAAATGTGTAAAACTACATTTATGAGCGGGGAAGCACTTGTAACAGTTTGTTACAAATCAGTAAATGTGTTTTGTTCTCACGGGCTCTTGTAGAAGAAAAGTGTGCGTCTAAGACGGCGTCGCCCAGAGACTTAGACCAGCGCACATGGATTTTTACAGAGATTAACGTTAAAAACATCACATTGTAACTTTAAAGGTTCTGCAACACAAGTTCATGATGGTTAACGTGTATTCAAACGGATTTTACGCCATTTGTTTGCCTAGAGACTTTTAGAACCAACTATCCAAGTCACAAGTACGTCGAGATGGGCTCTAGTGATTTACCACTTAGACTTGCTCGCAGTACGCGTGTGTGTGTGTGTGTGTGTTCTGAGAGGTGGAGAATGAGAGCAATAAACCTGAGATCCAGGTTTGCCTTAAGTGCTAGATTATAGCCTCGTATTCTAAAATAACCCTGAATGTCCCGTGAACGACGGGAACAAGAAATGAAAGCACAGAAAAGCCATTCCCTGTTCATTTTCCCCATTCAATTAAAGGGTTGTGAAATGAGGTGAGCCGTTGTTCCAGGCAATCGTCTGGAATAAATCGAGTAGAGCATTACACCTCGAGCGGGTCAGAGATGAGAGTTAGGGAATGCGCTGGTGAAGGGTAGCAGAACCAAACCTCTTCATCTAAAAGTATGCATTTCTGACACTACCTTCAACTAAGAGGAAACAGAAGCACGGGTCATGAGTGGTTTTATGCACCATTTGGCATTTGTTTCTCTGCCACTCTTGTTTTTTGTGAATATGCCAGAGTAATCACCCCCACCCCCACCCCAAACGCATTACCATTGATGGGTTTCTGGTGCAAGGAGTCCACAAAGTTGCGGGGGTTCTCTATGGTGTACTTGAGGTCACGGATGGTGTGAGTGCCGCCGCCCTCGCTCCACATGCCTTTCTTGGAAGACTTTGCCTGATCCTCCAACTCACAGAGCCTGGCCTGATCGGGGCTGGGAACAGAAATCAGACGGAAACATTTTAAGGCAAAGAAACTTTAGATGATGCATGACCTTGTTTATTAGTATTTGTTTACTTCTACAAGAGCCGAGCGCGATCCAGTCCACTTCGTATGCGTAGTTTCAAAATATGATTTTTCAACACTTTCAATCCACAGCATGTAGTCGGCGTGAAATCCCACCGCCACGGGGGCCGCCAAGCTCATTGGATTTCATTTTGATAGAAATGTGAATGTATTTAAATCAAGATGTTTAATTTTAACACCACATTTATGAAACATAGTTAAAGTCGACAGGAAGTAGAAAGTTTATAACAACTTAAAACATGCTAAACAAACAGAACTCTGACAGAAATACTGTATATACATAAATTACACGTCTGTACAGTGCTTTTCTACATCAGGGACTCTAAAGCACACTTCACTACAGTAAAAAGTAGTTGTGATGAGCTACTTCATAGCCAGGCCAGAAGCAAGGCTGCCACATAATCTGCACCATCGACCCCTCCGGCCAGCAGGTAAGGAGGGTGGTGTTGCCAAAGGACACAAATGACACAGATGGCACCGAGGTGCAACCCACCCACCCACCAAATAATAAAAAAAAGCTGGCAAGCCTAAAAAATTCTAAGTATGTTTGAGAGCTGTACAAATAATGCCACACACACACACCAACAAGGAGAAAGATCTGGATTGTCGAGACGCTCTGCTTAATACGTTTATCACATCCCAACTAGGCTGAATTCAAACATATAAAGACCTGAATCCAGGTGGTAAATACTGACCCAACGAGAACCAAAATGAAAACAAACGGCAGCAGATGAAATTGAACTTTTGTGGCCAGGGGCGCCTCCAGAAAATTTTGATAGGGGTGGCCAGATAGGGCCAAAGACATTTTTGGGGTGGCACACCAAATTGGTATTTGTGGTAACTGGGAGAATTTAGCCTGTAGCGACGTATTGCGTTTTTATTAAAATAACAGTACATATCCAAAACATTTAACTTAAATGTTACTAACATTTTAGAAAAATACATTCCAGTTATTTAAAATGTTATCCCAAATTTAATTTAAAAACATTTTTTGGTTAATTCACTTGTTTCTGTGTTTTTTTTTTAAACTTTGGAGATAAAATTTTTTTTAATGGTTAACAGCAGAAAAGTATTTTTTTTAATTCTGATTTCTTTACTCATTAATTGTAATATTTTCATTTAGTTTTACAATTATGTCTTGAATAAACAAGATCAATACATGGTTTGACTGAACATTAATATGACTTGTTAACACTGGCTTTTCGTGGGGGGGGGGGGGGGGGGGGGGCAGAAATTGCCACTCTTTGGGAGCACCCTTTGTTGCGGCAAAGACAACCAATCTGATTATACCCTCTTAAACAGAGACAACAGCAGCGAACCATTGGTGGCTCTCCAAACCTTCTCTTGTACATCTTTAGTTATTCAGAACTCCATATGGCCATCAAACTTGGTCCGCCCCCACCATAAAATGCTGCACAATTCTTCAAAAATAAACAAGACATTACCTGATTTTTAAAGTTTGATCCAACAAAGTGGCTCTTAATTAAACTACTAAGCATATAAACACACATATCGTCTCTTCCTCAACTCCTAATCGAGTTTTTGGGCTCATTCCCAAAACGGGTTCCAATTCAGATTTAACCCTCTGGGTTAAGGGTGTAATTTGCGGTTTTTGACTAATTTAGAGTTTTCCTTTGTATTTCCAAAATAAAAACCATAACCACTGCCTTATGTGGTATCAATCTTTTCAGCACAACCTGGGCTTCATGAATTTATACTTATTTTTTACATTTGGACATAAAGGGGTTGCATATTAGACCTTAAATCACTCAAAAACATAAAATCCGAATAGGAAAAAAGTTGTTTATTTTACTGTGAAACCAACAAACATTTATGACGAATGATTTTTATAATTTAGAATGGTAATCTAAACTGTACATTTATAAAAAATATGAATAAATATAGCAAAAAAATTTTTTTTTTTTTAATTATTAGCCCTCTGGGGTCCAGGGTGTAAATCACCGTTTTTGACTCATTTTGGTTTTTCTTTTGTATTTTCTAATAAAAACAATAAATATTGCCTCATGGGGTATCATTCATTATTATTTATTAATTTGGCAATAATGTACATGCATCCATGCTTTCGTTCTTTTTTAAACACAGAAACAGTTTTGTTTACCTGTTTGTAGCTACAGTTTCGCCGACGGCTGCCGGCTTCTTCAGGCTGACGCTGATGGTGGCGCGTCACTTCCTTCTCCGTTTATCTGCGGGCAGCAGAGGACGTTGTCGCCCTCTACTGCCCGCTCTCCCCTCTCCGACGATGCAGTCCCATGCGTGGTCCAGCGTGTAAACTCCGTCGTCCCTGTTCATGGTCCCACATCCACGTCTCCTTATCTCTATTGCTTCCTTGATCCATCTTTTGTATTTTTGTTGTTCGGTGGTTATGATCCGTGTGTTGTCCCAGTCCATTATATGGTTTTCTCTTAAGCAATGTTCTGTTACAGCTGACTTTTTTATTGTACTTTCTGCTTCTTCTTTTGCTGCTCTTGTGTGTTTACGATTTGCCTCTTTCTCGCACTCCTTTCTGTGTTCTATTGTCCGTGTATTGAGTTGGCGTCCGGTTTCTCCTATGTATGTTTTATTGCATATTTTGCATGGGATTTCGTAGATGACTCCACATTTTTGTCCAGCTGGTATCTTGTCTTTTGGGTGTACTAGTCTGTTTCTAACTGTTGTGTATGGCTTTGTTGGTGTGTTTATGTTGTGTTTTTTCATTGTTGCTCTTATTTTTTCCGTTATGCCTCTGATGTATGGTAGGGTTATCACTGGTTTTGGTTCTTGTCTTTCTGGGTTTCTGGTTCTTTTTTTGGGTTGTTCTTTGCTTTCTGTTTTTGTTTGTTGTTTTCCTTTGTTTATTGCCCATGTCGGGTATGCGCAGGTCTTTAAAGCGTGTTGTATGTGTTTGTCCTCTTGTTTACGGTCTCTCTCTTCTGTTATTATGTTTGCTCGGTGATATAATGTTCTGATTACTGACATTTTGTGTATGGTAGGGTGTTCTGATGTCCATAATAGATATTGGTCTGTGTGTGTTGGTTTCCTGTATGTGTTTATGTTTAGGGTCCCGTCGGTCTGTCTGGTGATTTTCATGTCCATAAATGCTATGCTGCCTTCTGTTTCTAACTCATAAGTGAATTTTATGTTGCCCGTGTCGTCAATATTGTTTAAGTGTTGTGTTAGTGTTTCTGTTTGACCTTTTGGTATGATTTCCAGTATGTCATCCACGTAGCGTTTCCATAGTTTTATTTTACAGTTTGGGGGGCCGGTGGCTATGGCTTTTTGCTCTAGGTTTTCCATGAAAAATTCGCACAGGGTGGCTGATAACGGGTTACCCATGGCGAAGCCTTCCAGTTGTTTGTGTATTGTGTTTTCGTCCTCTGCTGCCCGCAGATAAACGGAGAAGGAAGTGACGCGCCACCATCAGCGTCAGCCTGAAGAAGCCGGCAGCTGTCGGCGAAACTGTAGCTACAAACAGGTAAACAAAACTGTTTCTGTGTTTAAAAAAGAACGAAAGCATGGATTTACAAAGACACAGCAAGAACACACCTAAGAATGTACATGCATTTTGGAGTGGGGAGTGGCTCTGTCTCATGATCGAGATCTGACAGCTGAGCGGCGCCGCCCACTCCACTTGTTGGATCTCCGAGGAGCTGGATCTCTGCCTTCATCCTCTACCTCATCATGACCCAGCTCTTCTATGAGGAAGGATGGATCTGCCACATCATCATCAACATCCTCGCTATTTGCCTCAGACTCCGGCTGGGAGTCTCCGTCCACTTCCTCTGCTTCCAGTTCAAAAAACAGCCGTACTATCTGAACTGCCTGGTGGACATTTATCCTTCTCATCATCCTTTATATAAGCCTAATAAAAGCCTATGTAACCGGATTACAGGATACAATAAGATAATTAAAAGAAAAAATAAACAAATGGGCCAATAATTAGGTTCGGGGAGAATTGGAGGTTGTTTAAGAATGACTGGAGTCACGGGTATAGCATGAAACGGTTTATATACTAAATTTTAATAATAATGGGAAATATAACACATAAAGATAACACACAAAAACAGATGAAAACAATCGACAATAGTAAAATGCTCGGTATGAGATTTGATCATATGAGTCACAAGTCAGCCGGCGTCAAGTCAAATCCCCACGCTTGGGGTGAAAGTCAGAGTCCGGTGGTGCGATTTTTTCCTACCACACCGTTGAGATTGTTCACAGAAGAGAGCAGTCTGCTCTTCAGTTACTTGAGATGTCCTGGTTCGTTCAGTGGTTAAGGCTCGCCATCTCCCTCGTCAGGAAGAAATCCAGTTCTCGTTCCAAGTGAGTGATCATAGGAGTCGGGATCAAACCCAAGGAAAAAAAAAACCCAGCCAACGCGCTCCAACGGTTCCCTCCTACAGAGGATTGGTTCACTCTGTCGTCTCCACACAAATCGCGTTGGTTCCAAGTTCCTAGCTCTTATTAGAAGGAGTCAAGTCCGCCTCTCCCTCTATCTATGCGGCACCCAAATCAGGGTTCTTCACGGCCTCGACCGTTGTTTTTTTTTCTCTCTCTCTCTCTCTCTAACCGCTCAGTCTTTGCTTTCTGTATCTGCGTGCTGCACAGCCGTTTGTCTCTCCTCTCGCTCAGCTGCGTCGCACGGTTTTATTTCGCGGAGGCGGGACTTATTTCTCTCAGCCAATGAAATTTCAGATTCCCACCTGGACCAATAGTATACAGCTTTCCTCTTCTGTTTCTGTTAGGGATGTTCAAGATTCTTGTTTTAACCGATGTTTAATATTAAACTCGTTATTTTAGTTATTCACCCTTCCAATAATTCATTATGAAATTATCTATTAGTTAATTAGATATCTATTAATTAGTATTGTTAATTTCCTTAATTTATATTTTATATTTTATCTAAATTGA